ACCTGACCAGAACCAGAGCTGCAGCTGACCAGAACCAGAACAGAACCAGAGCTGCGGCTGACTAGAACCAGAATCTTTCACCAAAACCCACATCAACAGGTTCCATACAACCAATAAAATGTTCCCAGAACGTAGAGCTCAGTTTTCCTACAGACATCAAACACATCAAGGGCCTACCTGTCGGAGGGGGCGGGGCCTGATCAGGTGAATTTCTACAGGTGATTTAAAACAGTCAGGTCTTTTTATTAGCCCTGTGAACAAATGTAAAGAAATAAAATCATCTTGTTTTTAGATTCTCCAGTTTCTAACTCCCTGATCAGGTTTCGGAACAAGCGCTGATTTGGGTTTGTTTTGTTTCTGCAGGAGCCCGTGTGACGTCAGCAGACAGGCGCGCACGGAGCCGGTGGTTACCTTGCAGGGGAAGGGCAGCGCGGAGGCCACCTTCTCCATGGCCAGGTTCCGGATGCTGGGGCTGAGCGGGCCGCGGCAGGTCGGGCAGCAGCTCAGCTTCTGGCGGCACGGGTTGCACACCAGGTGACCCGCCTGGCACTGCAGGATGGGCGGCAGCACGTAGTCGAAGCACACCGGGCACTCGAACAGGGCCGTGAGCTCGGCGGGCTGCCCGGGGAGGCCGGCGGAGGGAAGCAGACACGCGGCGGCCGAACCCGACCCGGCTACGGCACCGGCCGCTGCGGCGGCGGCGGAAGTGGCTCCTCCCGGTCCCCCGTGCTTTCCTCCGCCCGCTTTGCCGCCCCCGAGTCCTCCACCTCCGGCTCCGGCAGAGGACGGACGGCTCATAGCTTCCAGCTGCAGTCCGGTTCCTGTGAGCGGCTTGGCGGGCGGTACCGTCATTTACTATTTACAACCGGACGTCCCTCCGGGGCCGAGCGGACTCAACATGGCGGCTGCTCGTTCGTATTAGTTTGTTTCGGAGAGCACGCGCTGCCATTGGCTGCCACCGCTCCGAGTGACGGGCCGCTCAGCCAATCGGAGGCGAGGGGCGTGTCATTACGTAATGTTTGAATCGGAGAAGTTTTGAACAGAAAAACAAGTTTTTAAAACTCCATCAGGAATATGAAGGATGGAATGTGACAAAATTAAATAAATAAATACACAGTGAAATAATTAAATGTATTTTTAAATTTAAAAAATGTATGGAAAAAGGATCTAAAAAAGTTAGGTCTGGTCCTCTGGACATTCAAGAAAACAAACAAAACAAAAAAAATGTAGAAACGTTTCGTCTCTCATCCTGAGGACTTCCTCAGTCTGAGGTGCTGTTTTCAGCTCAGTCTCTTAAACAGCACCTTCTCAGAGTGGATCAACCAGTTTGCTGCTGACAACCAGAACCAGCTGATCACATGCTCAAGAAGGACCATCAGCCTAACAATGGATCATTAGCACCTGATGGCTGTTTACTGTTCACAGAGGGCTGAGTGATACTAGCAATCACAGCATTGTAAGAGGGGGACAGTTGAACCTGGAGGCTCCATCATGTTGCTGCTGATCTGTTTCAATGTTGATGTGTTCATGCGTGCACATCTGCTCACAGACTCATGTTCATGTTTGTGCTGATGTTCAATGTTTTATGTTATGAGTGCTTAGTGTATATTTAGTTGATGTTTTTCTTAGTTCATATCTTAGATGTTATTACTGTTTTTCTTATACATTTTATTGTTGGATGTAACTGGGACCCTGTGTACATAATTTCGCTCCACCACATGTACCACATGAGGTGCGAATGACAATAAAGAAACTCTGACTCTGACTCCACCCCTGTTTAATGATGGACGATTTCTTTTCACAAAGATGGCCTCCTTTACTCCTCTCTCAAACCATCGTTCCTCTCTGTCCAGGATGTGAACATCTTCATCCCTGAAAGAGTGACCGCTGGCCTGGAGATGAGTGTAGACCGCAGAGTCCTGGCCTGATGATGTTGATCTTCTGTGCTGGTCCATCCTTTTGGCCAGTGGCTGTTTAGTTTCCCCGATGTAAGACTGATCACCCTCCTGACACTGAACAACATACACAATATTACTCTGTTTGTGCCGGGGGACTGGATCTTTGGGATGAACCAGTCTTTAATGTATTTTGGGGTTTAAAAGCCACTGGGACGTTGTGTTTAGAAAATAAACGTCTCAGTTTCTCTGATACTCCCTCAACATATGGAATGACCACTGGTCTGGGTCTGGGTTCCTCCTTTTCACCTGATGGCTGACTGGAGTCCTGTTTGGGTTTCTTCTTTCAGGAAGGCCCAGTTAGGATATCCACATTGCTCTAGAGCCTGTCTTGTGTGGGATTTCTCCTTCTGCCTGGCTCCTGAGCTAGTGGGGACGCTGTCTGCTCTGTGGTACAGAGTCCTGATGACTCCTAACTTGTGCTCCAAAGGGTGATGGGAGTCAAACTGCAAATACTGGTCTGTGTGTGTGGGTTTGCGGTACACCTCGGTTTGCAAATGTCCTCTATCAGAGACTGAGACCTCACAGTCCAAGAAAGCCAACCTGCCATTTTTTACATCTTCTCGTGTGAACTTGATGTCTTTATCCACAGAGTTGATGTGGTCAGTAAAATGTTGGACTTCCTGAGATTTAATTTTAACCCAGGTGTCGTCAACATACCTGAACCAATGACTTGGTGGTGTCCCTGAAAAGGACGT